GTTAATTTTTAAGTTTGTCAAAGCACTCAAACAATCTGTTGTTGTGTCCAACAACTCTTTTAAACCTGACGCTGATTCTACGAGTAACCGTTTTTGACCGAATAGCCTTTTCAAAATGCAATTAGTGAGATACTTTTATTAGCATAACGCCTTTCCAGTTGCGACCAACATTGACTATAATTAGCATCTGTGATAGGTGTATGCCTAATTAATTGTTCAGCTTCACCAGTAAGATGTCCTTTCAGATAATGCAGCTTTTGTACATTATCTAAGGAAGGATTATTATGAACTAAAGAGGTAAACAAATCGTAAAAGGTAGTCCATTCACTATATTTCCCCGAAAAGGTAGGAATTGAGATTTTTGGCAGTTTAACCAATGAACTTGTTGCTTTGGACATTGTGTTTGATTCGCTACCCTGTTGTGCTATAGGTTCTTTACGTTTAATTTATTTAAAGTTGATTTCATAGCACATTTATATGTTATGTAGGTATCTTCAGTAGTGTCGTACATATCCACAACCTTTTGACTGATATCTTCTAATTTATAGGTTTTATAAAGTTGAGATTTGGTATCCTTGAATGATGACCAATCCTTTTCTAATAATTCGAGTTTTGTTTCTATGTATTCAACCGTTAATCTATCTTTAGGACTCTTCTTATAATTAGTAAATGCCCTTGTCATCACACTCTGAAGATCCTTCATAACGTTTATTTGACCTTCCATTTTTACGTAACAAATAAAATAAGACTAGTAAGAATAAACCGTTACACAAGTAAATTGATAGAAGTTTGTAAATAATGTCTAACAACAATAAATAATTTGATTTAAAAGTTAATCAAACTGCATGTACACAAATCATAACAAACAAAAATTTTATATGTCCAAAACCATCGAAATTTTTCTAAGTCCTAAATAAATCACTAAATTTTACAAGTGTTTTGGATTTAAATTCTGGCGGATTTCGGGCATAGGTTCCCCGTTCCCCCGTTTTTATTGAAATTATTCTAAGTCCTTAACTAACATGCACAAATTTTACTAGTCTAAAATATACATTAAAGTGTTAAGTTAAATTAATCTTTGATATAAAGTTCAATTTGGCTTGGCAAAGATTGTTCTGCGTTAGTCACTTGAACTATTTATGAAATATAGTACTCACAATATTTAACTTCACTCACTGAACACGGACGGTGCAGGTCGCGCCCTCTGCGACGTCACTCGGCGTGGATGGTACAAGTGGCGCCCTCTGCGGCGTCGCTCGGAACTTCAAATATAGGCTGCTGTCACTGCGCACTGCAACAGTTTCTTTGACGACGACCTCTCGAAGAATGGACTGCGTTGATTCATGTGGCGCCCTCTGTGGCCACTTGATGAACTATACTCCACAGCAACTGAGCTCGCCAACTTGCTGGGCGATGCTTCTGCGGGGTGCTCAGTATTCTTGCTGCAGCGATCCACTGCGAATACTCGAGCTTGTGCCACTGGCACGGTTGAACTCAAAAATTCAGACAGTACTGCGTCTGATCCAGGGTCGAAGGACCAATGTTAATTACCGAAGTAACGTGGCCTATTGTAGCTACTAATAGGGTTTAATTAAAACTTCGTATTAGTGCTTGAACTGCTGGTTCGTAATATATTTGTTCTGGTTGATCTCAATACATACAAAAAAAATATCTGTCTTAAGTAAGTCGTTGTAACGAAACCATAGCTTGATTTTAATCGCGGCAACGCCATCTAGTTACAAAAAGTGAACTAATTAATCAATATCAATTTTATGATTTCGTTACTTTGATTTCGTGTTGGGTTTTGGTCATTAACAATAACTATATAATCAATATACTATATATTGATGACGTTATTTTGTGGGTAAATGCAGTGTCCATTTTCAATCGTGGAGGTTCATATCAATGAACAAGAAACTGTTATTAAAACATGATGTAGTCATTTCATTTTTCTTTGCTTAAATTTATTTTTATTCCTAACCTTGTCGCCTATTATCTTGTCGCATATTATCTTATTCATTACTAAATTAATACCTAACAGAAGTTGATACATTGGAAAGTCATGGTTTGTCACGAATAGGCCGGCTCACCTGGAGTGATACAGAAAACTAATGTAAAACAACACCTGCTTTGTTTCGCCATGTGACTGAGGTAGACTGAAGACTTTAAATTAGGTATTCATTGTTCCTTTATTTCAGACAACTGTATTTCAGACAGCAGTTATGGAAGAAAGTGCGCGTGAATCACGGCAGAGGGCGCGCTGGGCCCGTAGACTCGAGTAGTAGCCAGTAGCAGCGAGACAGTCGCCGCGTCGCGGGTCGCGAAACGCTGCTCATGAATATGAGCCTCTAGCATGGCTTGAAACTAGTCGAGTTCCTCGTCAAATTATTACGTGTGTAAGCCGAAAACATAATAATTTATTTAGTATGTCTCACGAAAGTTACAATACAATAACAAAACTTATAATTATAATTATTATATACGAAGAGACGGCGTCGTGTTTCGCTGACTGGTGTGACGTTGCCGTCCACGGAAACGTTAAACGATACACGACACCCTTGCCCAAAACTGCTTCTTGAACACGGTTTCATGCTAGAACCTGCAACACGAACGACTTTAAGTTAGTATTGTGGCGCGACTCCCGCTTCTCGACGCTCAAGGTTCAATTCGTCTTCACTCGCATGTACTCCACGACATCCTCTGCCTTCGTGAAGCGATGCAGGCAAAGAGGCTTCTTCTTCTTCTTTCTTTCTACCTTAATGAAGCCATCAATGTCATGATTGTCCTTTTTCAGACTAGGCTGGTTTGCTTGACCCCGATTTATTAATTGATAAACTAGCAACGCTACTACAACGTTACTACTCCAGTAATTACGATGTACTTACCTGTAGGTAACGTCATCTGGCTAGACTCCTATCCCATAACATTAATATCCTGACTGCTTATACACAACACCAATATGTACTTCATAGATCTCCAATATAACCTTTAACCTTAAAACACGCCGCTACTGTGTACTTATATGACAATCTTCCGAAAAGGTCTCTCAGAGCACTTTCAGGTGACTACAAGCTAAGTACGGTCTGTTTGTTCTATAGAATTGACGTTCAAACACTTTCCGAACTCAGCTTGAAGGAACCTTGGATCATGTGTTATGTTCGTTTCTATTTTCTTCGTAATTCACAACTGCTCTGCTGGCATTAAAATTTAGACAAGGAATTGTCTACTCTCTATTTTGCGCCTGTATTCATATTCATAGCAATCACGAAATTGATGAGTTGCAGCCACACTAAGACTTTGAATACCAATAGAAAATAATTTAAGAAAAAATTCTATGCTAACCGCTAGTTATCGGTGACTGACATAGCGTTAAGAGTTTTACTTAAAGATAAGGATAAAATGAGATTTAAATAAAACCCATGCAGATTAATTATTATTAATTCAAGATTGTTTATCATTCCCAACCATCTACTGGATTTAGTTTGCATTTAGTCTTTGCCTCTCAATAAAAACTGTTAAAGGCAATTAACCGCTAACACAGGTTGTCGGTAATTGAGGTAGCAGCCGAAGCGGATTAAACCTAGAAGGCGCCCTAGGCAAGCACCTAAAAGGCGCCCCTATTTTTTTGGCGCCGTCACTATTCTTTAGGCTGAGGTCACACGCGTTTCGCGGCGTGGCGCTCTTTCGTAATCTGGCGCCCTTTTTTTTTTTTAAGGGGGGAAAATCATCGAATGACTGCTCCCGCCTGGGTGAGGCGGAAGGGAGTGTCAGACTCTTACTGACTAAAAACCACCCCGTTCCTTCTCCTGCGCGTCGAGCCGGAGCCCCGGTTACCCGTTAGGTTCTCCGCGACAATCTGGCGCCCTAGGCATTTACATAGCTTAGCACGGCTCTGGCATTAGCTATGGTATGAAATAGTAAGTCCTTGAGTATCAAGCTTTTCTTACATCTTCACGATGATGTCAAAATACCTATGTATATGTATGTATATACGAGAAATATATACGAGAAAGTGTCATTTTTATCACAGATTTATTGCAAATGTTATATTAATAGCGCTCACCCAGACCTCAATAAAATCGTATCAGTAAACAAACATTGTAATAATAAATTTTATGGTTATCTAAATGTCAAAGAAGTAATTATTTATCGGATATAGTTCCTTGACGCACTTGGGATATACAATATAATATAGTAGGTAAATATAGTTTCTAATTTCTAAGTTCGATTTTGTGTGTAATACAGTAAAAATCTTTCTTAGTTGTTTTTATTGTATCTAATTAAAGGAATAGGAATGACGACGGGTTATAAAAATTACAAATTTATTTAGGACGTCACTTAGGTAATGAAGAAATATTAGACTCGTATTTTTATATTTTGCCGTATAAAAAAATTTTACTTATATAAAGTGAATCAAAGTTTAGGAGTTGGAGGTAATTACGTCATTTCTACGTACAAAACGTAGTGAGAAGTGACGTCACGCGATATTTCAAATCAATATATCGTCGAAAGTATTTTTTCCGAAAGAAAATAAAATAATACGCGTCTAATGTTTGCAAAATAACCTACCAGACGGACATTAAAATAAAAATGAGTCGTCAAATCATATTCAATTCTATTCTCGATGTCTTTCATATTGTAGGAATTCAATAATTCTCGAAGTATTTTAATAGTAAAATTTTATTTAGTTAACGTCTGGTAAGTTATTATATTTGCTATTTGTACTTGTAGTAGATACTATAGTCCGTACATAGAATATAAAAAAAAACAATTCATCATCATCAACCCTTTCGTTCTCTCCTCTGCAATCAAATGAAACTGAAATTACAAGCGATTTAAAAAATTGTCTTAACCTTAAGATTTAAGCCTAAATACAATTTGACAGTATCAAATAATACGAACTTAGGGTATTTTTATTAGATGCATATAAAAAAAAATATTTTTTATGATAGTTAAACACTTGATGAAAGTTATAGCAACTTAGAACTTAAAATTAAGTCTTAACACTTCCATGCTGAGTCCGGACATTTCTGTAAAAAAAAATACGACAATTATTATTATTATAACTACTTAAAATTTTAGAAATTCAAAAATATTTAGTATTTGTCTCATTCTGTTTTTTTTTATGGGATAAACCGATAAACAAGCACTCGGTTCACCTTATTTATGGTAAGCAATCGGTGCCGCCCATGGACACCCGAAACACCAGAGGCGTTACAAGTGCGTTACCGGCGTTTGGAAATTGGGAATTTGGGGATTGTGGGGAATTCGAAGATTCTCATTCAGTTTCGTAATACTTAATATTTAGAAAGGAACAAAGTGAACAATTGTTTAGTTTTTCAACAGATTTTTGGTACAGGACGGAATCGAGTTGTACCTTGGGTTTTATGTACCCAGTAAAGTCATACTACTACATATAGGGGCCCATTACATACCTAATCCTGTCCCTACGAATATAAATTGGAATCATAATCATAATGAAATCCATTCCTTCGAATATAAACAAATATTAAGGCAATCCAAAATCCTACCTTCAACATAGCGATACCAGTGCAAGTAAATACATCATAGGCTTTACAAGGAACTTCGAGATGCTGTCTAGGGTCATTGTCCACACAATCGGTGATAGCTTTGTAAATGGAATCAGTCCAGCCTGGATGATTCTTCTCCCATTTCTGCAAATGGCTTCTATATGCGGCCTTGTTTAATGTATTCCGGTCTGTCAAGAAGCCTGATACTTCGAAGATGCATTGGACATCTTCACACTGGAATGAAAGTTGTTCATAACTATAGATTTTTATAATCGTGGCTCTATACATAACATATTTCACATATTTGTATTGTAACTTTCGTGACTATATACTAAATAAATTATTATGTTTTCGGCTTACTCACGTATTAATTTGACGAGGAACTCGACTAGTTTCAAGCCATGCTAGAGGCTCATATTCATGAGCAGCATTATGGTATGAGCATATTTTTGAGTAGCAGTGCGACAGTCGCAGCGTCGCCGGTCGTGAAATGCTCCTCATGATATAAGAGCCTCTAGCATGGCTTGAAACTAGTCGAGTTCCTCGTCAAATTATTACGTGAGTAAGCCGAAAACATAATAATTTATATTTCACGTAATTATACGAATGTGGGTACATAATATTAAATTTTGTGTGTCAACAATATTTTCTATAAGTATTGTGTATGCAAAGCGTGTAGAATTGGAGATTACACATATTTATGTTCCACGGGTTGGTTACTTTTATAGAATATAATCTTACCGGTCCAGGAGGTCTAGGCGAACATTTTGCCAATTGAAATTCATCAGCCAATTCTGGAATATCGCAGCATACTGATAGTGGTTTCTGGAATTAAACAAAAATGAGTGAGTTTTTTGCTGGCCAAACACAAAAAAATAAAAATAATTAGGCACACCATATACCTAAATACATCGCCAGTCTATAAGTAGCCACTGCCGACCAAAGGCTTCTTCTCGCATGGAGAAGGTTTGAGCATTAATCACAGCACGTGCTTAATGTGGTTTTTTTAACAATGACTGCTCCCGCCTGGGTGAGGCGGGAGGGAGAATCGGACTCTTACTGACTAAAAACCACCCCGTTCCTTCTCCTGCACGTCGAGCCGGAGCCCCGGTAACCCGTTAGGTTCCGCGACTGCTTAATGTGGGTTGACTATTTATTTTCATTTCAATCCTATAATTATAAATTATAAGCCTAGGTTTCCTCGTGACATTTTTCTTCACTTCACTCTTTTAAATAGATTTTACATATACCTTGGAAAAAGTCGCATTGGTAGGTACTTGTCATAAGGGAGGTTTCGAGCCTGCACTCTCATGCATGAGAAACGGGCGTCTTAAACCTCCGGAAACGGAGGTAAAGTATGTAGACATATACCCTACTCCTCGATGATATGAAAGTAAGTAAGATGAAGACTACTAGTCCAATAGAACTGAAGATAATGTCATAATTTTGGTAAATTAACAACTAACACCTTACATTTTACTTTTACTTTTTATTGTTAGTTTGTTTGAACGCGCCATTTTCTGAAACTACTTGATCGAATTGAAAAAATCTTTTTGTTTTGAATAGTCCATTCATTGAGGAAGGCTTTAGAACATGACACCATGATCAATATGAGCCGAGCAGAGCGGGTGAAACGCGCGGGAGTAAGTAGTTTATTTGTAAAAGCTTTATGCTTCTAAACTAGGTGTATTTAATGCCTTAGACATTTATTTATTTAAGCTTCATGCCCAGTATGTACGGCGACTGCACGGTTGGCGCGGTGACTGGGCAACTGGCTGCCGCGCAACGTGGCGCGGGTTCGATTCCCGCACGGAACAACTCTTAGTGTGATCCACAGATTATTGTTCCGGGTCTGGGTGTCATGTGTATGTCAACTTGTATGTTTGTAAACGCACCCACGACACAGGAGAAAATCCCAGTGTAGGGCAACGTTTTTAAAAAAAAAATGTATGTAGTCCCGTTAAAACTGAAAAACAGCTGAACCAATTTGGGTATTTTTTTAATTTAGCAATTTGTTTAAATTTGAAATGTTCTTGAAAGTCCAGGGAAGGTTTAAAAGGTGTGAAAAAAATTGACGGACGGAAGTTGGCCGGGTCAGCTAGTATCTACTTAATATTAATATTTGAAGAATTTTAATACATTTGAATATATGTATAAATAATTAATTAATATCTTTGAAATATAGATAGGTAACTTACCAGAGAAGCTTTAGTTTCTCTTTTAGTTAGTGTTTGTGCGACATCTGCGTTGGATGCCTGGAAATAAAATAAAAATTATTATTTTATCAACTTTTATACAAAATTTTTGTCAATGGTTTTTTTTTAATTTCGTTTTACATTGGCATCGATTTAAGTTAAAAATGTTAATTTTAACTATATATTCAGTCGCATATAGTGTTCGGTCGCACATTTTAATTATTATTCAAAATTAAAGTCTATTATTTAAAAAAAACACCCTTTGTGTTTTAGTTCGCTATTTCATTACCATCAAGTTCAAACAAAATAAAAAAACACGCTTTAAGTAAACCAAAATAACAAAAAGCAAACACAACAACTGTTTATCGTAATTACCGTTAAAATAAAACAAGTCTAGTTTAAACAATTTTGACACTTACAGCAACAAAAATAGAGCACAAAATAACAAACTTATACATTTCTATACACGTCAGTCCAGGACAGAAGCGTAAAGAAGACTGTTTTGGAAAAAAGTACAATAAATATAAGACTTAAATAGTACTCTGTCTAGGTATGTTTTTAAATACCATTGTTATCTTAAGTCAAAGAGTACATTACTCACACGCGTTACGTTCTTGGAATACGATTTTGTTCTGTATTATTGGATTCGTATCGTAATGTAAGGATTTGGTTAAAATATAGTACTATTTATTAAGAATAATCAACATTGAATTACTACACCGCTACAATATTTATCTAACATTTTGTTTTGTACATAATATACATAACATTAACATAACATAACGCCCTTTATCCCCGTAGGGGTAGGCAGAGGTGCACATTATGCCACTGTACAATATAAAGACCACTTTTTACTATTTATGAGTTTTATGTAATAAGGGGTGAGCCTACTGCCATGGGCATAATTCCAGACTCCGTGCTACTACTGGGAATTTTTTAAAAACCCAGTAATACTTTCCCCGACCCGGGAATCGAAACCGAGACCCCTTACTTCGTCGCACTTGCGACCACTCGGCCAACGAGGCAGTCGTTTACATAATAATATGAATATTAATTTCTTGCCGTAAAAACATTAATTGTATTTATTTAATTTTATGAATATGTTGGTAGAGGCTTATTAAATATAGCGGTAACAGTAATATCTAAGAGAAAATTTACTGCGCCTTTAGTGCAGTGGTCGGGGATCCGGCTGCTGTAGTAAATCACTGTTCATTCCCGCATGAACCAATATTTTTGCATACTCAACTTTTTGGTTTTGCTTCTAAGCAAGTTTTATTCACTTTACATAGTTTCAAGTAACACATGAGTAACATTTTTTTTTGTGGGATAAGCCTGTAATCCAGCGGACGGAACACCTGATGGTAAGCAACCTCACTTACATGACGAAAGACTACGCAAGCGTTGTGTCACGTCAGCTCTCCCACACTTGGATATAGAGCTATATGAATGTCCAAAAAATATTTAAATTATTTCGAAGTACATATTTTTAAGACCACAAGTATGAACCGGCCTTTACTTTCAAAGACAATTTGCGGTAAGTATATCAAAATGTATATATGTATCTAAAAGGAAAAAATATCGTAATAAATTCAAGGAAAACAATAACACTTATTTATTCAACTACATTGTACAAAAACAAATATTGTATACTTCTGAAAAAAGATAAGGTTATAAACAAAACATATGTAAACAAATGGTCAGTTCTGTAGTTCCTATCACTATAATTACTTGTTATCACTTAATATAAGTGACCGACAATACAGTTGGTTTACTAGCTGAACGGCTAGTCAGTCGTATACAAAATCAAATTCTTGTAGCGAGTCTGGGTCTGATGTGTTATCTATGTAAACGCGATTAATAAAACTAAATACAATTTAATAGGATAGTTTTTTTAAGGTGTATGTAATTATTTTAGTTTTTAGTTATTGGTATTTATAACATTTATTAATTTTAGTATAATATTATTTTTCGAATCATTGAAAATGTTTCCGACGTCAAAAATAAATTATTTTGATTTTTAAATTTCTTACTATATAATATTAAAAAATAATCGTACTTTCTATTCATGTATTTGAGGATATGCTTCACTTTTTTTAAATTTTTATAACTGTATTTCAATTTCGTTTTATTTGACGCAAAAATTCGATGACGATTCGTATGTTGCGTTTATAAAATTCGTATAAAGGTACCGTTTTCGACATTGCATTTTACTAGTTGTCTACTACCGTTTTTTCGGGTCTCTTTAACGACTGAGTGAATAGGTTGCACATGGGTAGACCCATCGCTTACCACCAAAAAAGATAGGGTCCAAATGTTGACACATTTCTAATTATAAAAAAAAAAAATTGAATACTTTGAAATCGAGTACCTAATAGAGGGATCAAACTCAATAGCACGAGTTGTACAGTTAATAGGGAGACTCATTAATTTAATAGAAACCACAACTACGATAAACTAACATAGATGTAAGAGTAATTTGTTATAAGTATTACGAAAAAAACTTTTGCGTAATTTGCAACTCAAGATACAAAAATTTGAAGAACTAAAAATAGTATTAGTTGTGTATAATTTGATAAATATGTAGGAAATAAGAATTATGTAATATGGCGTCAATTATTATTGCATTATCATCAGCGAGACGATGTCCCTTAATTTAATTTAAATGTACCTACGTTCACAATTTGAAACTTTAATTTGTGTTATTAGTATTAGGAAAAACATATACCAGATATACATACATAATGTATTTTTATGGCATAAGCCGGTAAATGAGCTGCCGGATCACCTGATGGTAAGCAATCGGCGTCGCCCATGGACACCTGGAACACTAAAGGCGTTACGAGTGCGTTACCGGCCTTTTGGAGATTAGGAATTTGAGGATTGTTGGGGATTCAGGGACTGGTGAGATGGGGCCTCCGGTAACCTCACTCACATGACGAAACATAACGCAACCGTTATTTCACGTCGGTCTTCTGTCAGGCCGTGGTATCACTCCGGTTGAGCCGGCCCATTCGTGCCGAAGCGTGGCTCTCCCACACTTAGATGTATTACGTAAATCGGATATGATGAGAATGAATTAACTATAATTAAAATATACTCAAAATGTTATTATAACGAAACAAGACTATTGCTTACTTGTCAAATGATTGCTGCCATTGTATTCACTATTCTATTTACTATTGTATAAACAATGTAAATAACATCAGCTAGTTATATCTACAAACTGTTAAGTTCCATTTACGAATTTATGTTACGTTTACTGTCCACAATGCATGCATTCTTAATAAACACGATAATATAGTATCTAACGTTTTATTCAAGTATACATTTTTTTTTTTCGAGTTACATATACTTTCTAAGATTATCTAGAGGTAGATACCTTTGACATACGGTGAAGATCATGAGGAAACCTGGGCTTACCATTTTTAATTTTAAGTTTGTAATCGCCAACCCGCATTGATCAAGCGTAGTGATTAATGCTCAAATCTTCTCCGTGCCAGAATAGACCTTTGATCAGCAGTGGCCACTTATAGGCTGTTGATGTTGATGATAACGTCTTATTTAATTAATAAATAACTGTGTGTAATGTACTTACTTACCTATATACCGTGACATTTATTTCGTTTACGTCTTGCGGCAAAACAACTTGCCAAAAGGAGTTGATGATTTCGATGCAGTAAAAATAAAATAATAAAGACGCCTTTTTTAGTTGCATAAAAGTATACATCGTCTTAAGCATATGAGATACTAGTTGTAAGTTTTAGGTACTATTCGCATCACAAGTGCCACCCGACGAGGTCTTCGAGAATTACACGGCGTGATGTTTTGATAACGCAGTGTTCGGATGCACTTTCAAAGTATGCTTTTTGCAATGATTCACCAGTTATTTTATGTTAATTACAATTTTATTGTTGTGTAAACCGATTTTTCTAGTAAAACTATTTTGTGTTACCGAGACAGAACTATTTTACTTCGGGTCGAAAAAAGATTAACGGTGTATAATGAGAAATGGATAAGTAAATATGAGTTCTATTGTTTTCCTTATTATATAATTTAAAAACCTTTTTATAAACACACACACAAAGAAATATGCAGACAAAACAGCCGGAGAATTTCTATTTAGAATAATCTAAATTCATTCATACATGGATTTAAATGCAAGGGACATGACATTCTTTCAATACCTATCTGATTATGCTTATATTATTTTCAATTTTCTTCTTCACTAGTAGATAGTAGAATTACATTGTCACAGAGTAAATATAAAATACGTTTTAAAAAAATGAATATTTCCATGTGGAAATATTCATTTTTTTAAAACGAATATTTCCATGTGGACAACACAATACTATTATTTATACATATATATATAAATAATAGTATTTATACATACGTATAAATAATAGTATTGTGTAAGTACATACCTACCTACTTATTTATTACCTACTAAGTTAGTCATTTTTAATATGGGTCAAGCACGCCACAACACAAAAAAAAAACTAAAGTAGCATGTGCTCCCAGGCCAGACAAATTATTGAATTGTTGATATAGTCTTTAGAATTTCACCTAGTAGTATAGATATGGCATTAGGTTCACCCTTTAAAATAACTGGTAGAACGGTAGCGGTAGGCGTTATCATACATATTTTATAATTTTGACCTTCACAAGGAACCCTTTTTTTTCGGTAAGCGATTAGCGCCGCCCATGGACACCCGCAACACCAGAGGAGTCACAGGTTAGTTGCCGGCCTTTTAAAAAGGAATACCCTCTTTTCTTGAAGGTTTAAAGGTTGTATCGGTTCGGAAATACCGTTGACGACAGATCATTCCACAGCCTAGCATTCTCATTTCTAGCGATATTTCAATTGTATCTATTATGGCTGTAAATCTGTAAAGTCCTAACAAATAGTGTTGCTGAAACATTCGTAATGAAGCTTAAAATACTATGCTGTTCTCAAAAGCCAACCGTAATGAACATAATTAAGAACAAACATTAATGCATTGTTTAAAATGGTATGCAAATGTATTTCTGAACAATTTACTGAAAATCTAAGGTTTCCAAAATATGGTAAATTTGAATATCACGGAGACAATGCTTTAATTGTGTACGGAAATGACCTCGTCTATTAAATTACCATTAGAGCTATCAGGGGACATAAAAATTAAATCATTTACGAGTTCATTCATTTTATTTATTCGTAACACCGTCTATTTGAAGTTGTTTTACATTTTATAAAGACACTTATCATTACTAGTCATAATGTCGAAAATCTATTGAAAAAAACTACCCATTTTAGAACGTTGATCTGCTGGCTATACTATCTGTGAAACAAGTGAATTTATTTCTGCAAATAGGCTACAAGGCAGCACTTTTACACGTCAATTTTATCAAGCGAACGATGAGGTCGATCTGAATACTAATATAATAAAATTCATTGAAAACAAAATATAATTGTCAT